AAGGCTAGGAGGGTGAAGGCCAATCTAATATCACTAGGAAGGGAATGCCACAACTGAGGGGTCACCACTGAGAAGGCCCTCTCTCTCGTCCCCAACAACCGCACTTACGAAAAAAGTGGAACCAAGAGCAGGGCCTTCCCAGATGATTTTAATTTCATAGGGAAAAATATATTTGGACAGGTCAACTGGGCTGGAACCATTTAGGGCTTTATAGGCTAAAACCAGCACTTTGAATTGCGCTTGGTAGCATACTGACCACTAGTGGAACTGACGTCACAGGGGGGTTGTATGCTCCCTGTATGTTGCTCCAGTGAGCAACCTGGCTGCTGTCCGTTGGACCAATTGAAGCTTCCAGTCTTCAAAGGCAACCCTAGGTAGAGCACTTTGCAATAATGTATACGGGATGTAACCAGTGTGGACCACCATGGCCAAGTCTGACTTCCCAAAGTACAGGTGCAGCTGGTGCACAAGTTTTCATTGTGCAAAACCTCCCTTGTCCACCACCAAAACCTTAGGTTCTCAGCTCAGCAATGAGTCCAGGAGGACTCTCAAGCTATGAACCTGTGTCTTCAGGGGGAGTGTAACCCCATCCAGCACAGGCTGGAACTATATACTCTGTTCAGCTTTTTGACTAACCAAAAGTACCACTGTCTTGTCTGGATTCAATTTCAGTTTGTTCACCCTCATCCAGACCATCACAGCTGCCAAGCACTGGTTCAGGACCTGCACAGCCTCCTTAGTAGCAGGCAGGAAGGAGTGATAGAGTTGAACATCATCAGTGTACAGATGATGTTGAACTCCAAAACTCCAGATGATGTCTCCCAGCAGCTTCATATAGATGTTAAACAACATGGGAAACAGTATTAAATCTTTCGGGACCCCCACAGGACAATGGCTGCGGGGCCAAGCAGGTGTCCTCCAACAACACCTTCTAGGAACGACTCTCCAGGAAGGACCAGAGCCACTGCAGAACAGTACCTCCAAGACCCATTTCTGCCAGGCATCCCAGAAGGATACCGTGGTCTACAGTATCGAAGGCCACTGAGCGGTTCATTAGAACCAATGGGGACACACTTCCCCTGTCCAGTTTCTGACATAGATTTATTTATTTATTTATTTATTTACTTTACTTATATACCACTGTTCTCAGCCCGAAGGCGACTCACAGCGGTTCACAACCAATAAGAGCAGCAAAAATTCAATGCAACAGTATAAAAACAGTTAACAACTTAACACATTACATAAATTAGACAATTACTACAGTAACCAATCACTATCGTCTCATCATCAAAACCATAATCCAGATTCGTCATCCATTGTTCCATTCATATGTTCATTACCAATCATTGCACTAGTTATTCGAACGCCTGCACAAACAGCCAGGTCTTCACTTTTTTGCGGAATACCATTAGAGATGGTGCTAGTCTAATGTCCGTAGGAAGGGCGTTCCACAGCCGAGGAGCTGTGATCCTCCACAAAGGCAGCCAAGGCTGTTTTAGTTCCATGTCCCGGACTAAAGCCAGACATGCAGGATCTAGAAAATCCACGTCTTCCAAGAACACCTGGAGTTGCGAGGCCACCACACTTTCCAGGACTTTGTCAAAAAAGGGGAGATTGGAAATTGGCTGAAAGCTGATGAATTGAATGGGGTCCAGTGATGGTTTTTTTTATCCAACAGCAGTTTTATTACAGGTTGTTTTAAGCTGGCTGGAATCTTGCCTTCCCATAGGGAGGTGTTAGCCACCGACTTCACCCAGACTGCCAAACCCCCTCTGGCTTCCTTTACCAGCTAGGATGGGCAGGGATCTAGGATGCATGTGGTTGCCCTCATCCCTCCATGTATCTTGACCACATCCTTGAGCTGCACCAATTGAACTGACTCCATCACAAGCAGGTGCTCATGTTACATCTCAGAGACTGCCGTTTACATGGTGACCAAATTGGAGTGGATCAGAGTGACTTTGTCTGCAAAGAACTGAGCAAATGCTTCGCAGAGAGCTGCTGAGTACTCAGGGATCTCGTCTTGAGAGATGGGATTTAACAAACATTTGACTACTTGAAACAGCTTGGCTGGACGGTTTCTTGCGGATGCAATATTGGCTAGATATTGAAATGTTTGTTTTGCTGATGTGCTTCTTCCTGTTCAGAAGATTTCACCTCACTTTCTGTCCCTGTGATAATTGGATTTTGAATTTTTTGGTTGTTGTGGAAACAAGGATTGGTGATAAAACTTCAGTGGAGACACCTTTTTCCCATGATAATTCTTCCAGGATGCATTTTCCCAAGGGGTAGATTTCTTCTCACTTACTGTTGTCTCACCCCTGTTTGTAACTGTGAGTTTTTTGTAAGTCAGATGTTTGTAACTTGGGGACTCCCTGTACTTTCTGTGCTTTCTTGACACTCTGAAGGACATACTTCAGAATAAATAATAATTCAATGATATCCTACAATGGACTAAAGAGACCAGACATAAAGAGTTGGGTTAAATGTGGATCACTCTATTGACCTGGAATCTATTTACACAATGATGGACTAGAAGAAAGAAGAATGGGAATCAACCTGTTGAGGGTCCAGGTTATCAGACATAACCAGTGGCAAGAATGACAGTTGCAGTTCTACAACAACTGAAGGTCTAAATGGCTCCTATTCCAGTTCCATGCAGATTATTTGATCTCTTTCACTAAAAAGGGTAATCTGCAACTTTTTGCTTACAAAAGCAGGTGGTCCCTAATTAACCTATGGTTTCCTCTAATATCCCTTGTTTATGAGGCCAACACTGGGAGTGTATGTAAAGCAATGCTACTCAAAGTGATGGTCACTGGAATGAAGCCATTTCTGAACTATTAGCTGAGCCCTAGGAAAGCTATGGGAAAGATGCAATAGTTGCTAATGGGTTAACAAAAATTGTGCTTGTCTTCTACATCACAGAATTTAAGAAGGACGGATGCAGGGCAGCATAGAGGATGATAATATACACACATATATATTACTATTTACACAAAAATTGTACCACCAGAGTTGCTATAATGTAGTGACTTAGATGTAAATTATCTTCTTGGTTATAAGGATATTTCACATCTTCTGTGATTGTCCTTGTCCATTTATTCCTCAAATTTAGACCTTTATTGCTGCTCTGGTAAAAGAATATTAATAATACGAATACTAATATTAATACTAATATTAATAATAATACTAATATTAATAATACTAATAATACTAATACAATGTTTTTATTGTATTTCAGTGCACTATTTTAATATGTAATGACTTTGCACTTTGTAGTACCTATATATTATTGTACTTTCTTATATGCTGTAAACCGACCTGAGTCCCTCGTTGAGGTGAGAAGGCCGGTATAGAAAACTTCTAAATAAATAAATAAATAATAAATAAATCAATAAATACTAATGATACATATAAGCATTATTATTATTATTATTATTATTATTATTGATTTAGAGAATACCTGTTTTCAGGAATGCTCCATCAACATCATGTCTACAGTTTTGCCAATGTATTAGATGTAATAGTATATGTTTTTGCAGCTGTAACCACATTTGATATTGTTGTATTGACAGTGTTTGGTGTTTGTACATCCCTGTGACAGACTATTAGGTGATACTCAAAACGTCTCTAAAATGTCCTTTAAAAGTAAAAGTAAAAATGAAAAAAGTTAGCAGTTAAACTCAAATTGCAATGTTTCTGTGTACACTATTTGATTTTTTAAACCTTTCCACCTCCGGTCCCATCTACACTTCAGTTTCATAATGCAGTTTAACTGCATTGAACTGCATTATGAGTCTACACTGCCATATATTGCAGCTCAATGCAGTTAAACTGTGTAGATGGGGCCCCAGTTTGAAGATTTGATGACATTTGATGATGATTGATCAAAATAATCTGCTGGATCTTGTGCTGAAATGCATGATTTTAAGGATGCATGTTTTAATTTGTGTGCTTTTAAAATTACTGTTCAATGCCATCTTCACTTTTGCATCTTATGGATTTTTAATATTTTAAAAAAACTTGTTGTAAGCTGCTTCAAGTATTGAACTGGGGGGGGAAAGAGGATAAAAACCATAATCTAAAATGTCTCTTTAATTGTGACTGTTTGACACATATTAACTGATTTTGTTAGCTTTAATTCTGATTGCTTGTTGCATTCCTTGCTTTACATATCGACCCATTTTCTAGAGCAATTCACCTTGCTCTACCTAAATCCATTTTCAAGACATGTTCATTGTAGCTTGATATTTCAGCATTCATCCCAATCAGCTGTTTTGCAGTTGCATTCACTGTGGAATTATTTTTAGAGAGTAAAAGACCTATGGACTCTCCAAGTGAAATAATACCATTTAAAGATGAAACAATTGTGCAATGAAATGGTTTGCTGCCTAGTTCGAAAATCAAAGTACCACAGATTTTTCAGAAGAGATCAAAGTTGATGCTCTACCCGAGCGTATCTTTATACTATGAAAAGAACAAAGTAATATGCCAACTGCAGACATTATAATAATGGGTACCATAATGGAACATCTATGTTTGCTTAGAGATTCAGTAGAACTTGCTTCAAAATGTAGGATAACAATCTAAAGAATGAGAAAATCCTGGATTGAAAAGTCATATATTTGTGTTTTAAGAAATTACTGTGGGGATGATGTTTTGTGGAATAATATTAAGTTTCTAATAGAAATAAAGACAATTTATCCATCAAAGTATTGTGCAACCTGACTTCTAATTACATATCCTTCGATCACTCTCTTCTAGAGATATTGAATTTTTTGAATCTGTGTGTTCAGGTGAATTTTTAGTTAGAAGTTAGAAGAATTAACTCATCCAAACTTTCCATCTTTTATAATAACCATGTCTTTCAGAGTATTTCTCCTTGAAGTCTTGTTAACGACATATGCTTTTGTAAGCAGAAAGTCTTTCATTCCTTTTTGCAACCAATATGAGAAAATCTTCTAATGCTGCTTCAAATTATGTTGCATCTGAAACAGGGCTTGCTTAAGAGATGCTACTCTGCCAATGCTTCATACCTGTTCCAACAAGACAAGTTCTATGATGTCAGCTATGACACAGGTGACAAATCTATCCAGTGCAGCAGAAGAGCAGATGCCTTCAAATTCTGGATGACATGGAAGGCACTGGGGACGACTGGCCTTGAGGAAAGAGTAAACAGAGCCCTTGCATTAGCCAGGTATGATCATTTCAATAATGGGGTTTCTAACCCCAAGATCACAAAGTAATGGCAAATAATTTATGTTAAAGTGTATAGCCTTAAAATGCATATTTTCTCGTTGACCTAAAATGAAAATGTGGATTGATAAACTAGAACTGAAACATATTGGCTTAATTCTCACACATCCATCATTGGTTAGAATATGAAGAATGCTGTGTCCTTTCTACCTTCATTTACATTCTTTGATGCAGTGGTTCACAAACCTAGGTCCCTCAATATTGTTGGGTTACAACCCATAGAATCCCTGACCATAGACCATGTTGTCTGGGGTTTCTGGGAAGTTGGTGAAACAACATCTGGGGGCCCAAAGTTGGAATGGTTCAATACAATTCTTCTCAGTCACTCTTCTCCTTCATTCAAACCAGGAAACTTTGCTTTGGCTGCAGCCTTACAAAGCATAGTCAAACTGTGTTTGACAATTCCTGAGCACAAAGTTTAAATGACAATTTACCACTTCATATGTAATAGAAAACAGTGACCTAACAAACCCTAGAAACATTGTGTTACAAGATTAATTGAGAAGAAGAGCTGGATATGTATAACACCATGCTTATTATCAGCCTGGTAAACTATAGTTTATTGAACCAAGACTGTTATGTCTGAATGGCCCAATATGGTTTTTGGATCTAAATATTTTCCCACTGATGCATTTGAAAGATGTTCCTAAACAAACAAAAATTACAAATATAATATGATTGCCACAATTGTATTAGATTGTGGGTGGAAATTCCAACACTTCTATCATTCAAGAATCAATCAGCAATAGAATTTACCAGCTGTGTCTATACTGATGAATTTAATAAGAGGTTGGCCAAAGGATACATTTTCTCAAGAAAATGGTACTGTATTAGTGGGATAGAATTAAATATGTTTTCTTTTTTCCTGCTTGAAACGCTTGCATTATCTCTGTTCAATAAATTTATCCCATTATTGGTAGAAATTGATTGTCCTTGAAATCTTAACAAGGACTGTTATCTTGGATAGCAACTAGCGATTGCTTCTATTATCTCTAACACATCCATTTGTTTGGATTTTCAGCTTTGTTGTAAGATGCTCCCTGTGAGATTGTTAATGGTTCCTAGTATTTTTGTATTCTGCTGTATTATAATTGTCATTAAGAGTGTACTTATTCCAGTCAAGAACACAAACCTAATGATAACACTTAACAAAGAAGAAGGAATTGAGCAGAATTTGGAGGAGGAGAAAGAAGGGGAGATTTGTTATCTGATGTGAATCCCATTGATATATGGGAATGTCTCAATTTTATGTCCTGAATTTTGGTGGTACTAAGGGCATGTGTAAATTATCTCAAAATTGTGCATCTATCCCTGCTTGTGCATACAATATAAAACAGAGGTGTCAAACTTGCAGCCCTCCAGATGTTTGGGCTTCTAACTCCCAGAAGCCCTAGCCAGCTATTCCAGTCACCAGGAATTCTGGGAGCTGAAGTCAAAACACCTGGAGGGCTACAAGTTTGACACCATTGATCTAGAACAGTGGTTCTCAATCTGTGGGTCTCAGATGTTTTGGCCTTCAACTCCCAGAAATCCTAACAGCTGGTAAATTGACTGGGTTTTCTGTGAGTTGTAGGCAAAAACACCTGAGGACCCACAGGTTGAGAACCCTTGAGCTAGAAGATGTGGCTCTGTACTTCTCCAATGACATGAAATGACCTTAGCCAGATATTATTGACTGAAGCATGGAGGTGATTTTAACACTGGACTGCTACCTGTATTTACTCAAGTCTAATTGTCATCAAATCTAATGTGCACCTCCATTTTCAAAACCTTGAAACAAAAAAAAAGTATTTGCTGCCAAATGTCACAGTGGCAAAAAGTGTATTCTTTGTAATTTGGCCAAAGGAGCCCCCGGTGGCGCAGTGGGTTAAACCCCTGTGCTGGCAGGACTGAAGACCGACAGGTCGCAGGTTCGAATCCGGGAAGAGGCGGATGAGCTCCCTCTGCCAACTCCAGCTCCTCATGCGGGGGCATGAGAGAAGCCTCCCACAAGGATGATAAAAACATCAAATCATCCTGGCGTCCCCTGGGCAACATCCTTGCAGACGGCCAATTCTCTCACACCAGAAGTGACTTGCAGTTTCTCAAGTCAATCCTGACACAACAAAAAAAAATTGGCCAAAAAAGATGCACATTGCAGTTGTTGTTAGAACACTAAAGCTTCCCAGAATTGAAAAAACAAACAAAAAAACAAAACCTTGGAATGCAGCTATGCTGTAGAATCAATCCACTTTAATTGCCCGGCTCCTCCTCCTCCTCCTCCTCCTCCTCCTCCTCCTCCTCCTCCTTAATTTTATTTATTACCCACCTCTCCAGATGGCTTGAGGGGGGTACAAATTAAAAAACAAATGAACATGAAATACAATAAATAATATGGAATCATGAGACCTGTAGTTTTACAAGGTCTTGAACCACACAAATTTGGCTTTGCAGAGTGCAGAAGAATCGAAACCATTCCTTCTCTGCCTAAGAATGCTGATGTCTCATCAAACTACAAATCCCAGGATTGCATAGCATTGAACCATAACAAATTAGAGATTACATCCCGCAAATAGGAGCTCCAGGTGCTCCTGAAGCAGCTTCCCCTTTTGATTTGACTCAGAACTTAGATTACTATATTATGTGACTCTAATGTGCAGCCTAATTTTGGTGAGGTAATTATTCTAAAAAAGGTGAGTATTAGACTTTAGTCAATAGGATATTTTTTAATAATATGCAATTTTCCCTGATAGCTGTGAGTGTAAGGATTATAACTTTGATCATTTACAGCATCCGAAAATGCGAACAAGTGATATCAAAAACAGTTTCAAAAGCCTTCATTTTAAATAATAATAATAATAATAATAATAATAATAATAATAATAATAAAAAGGTCACATTAAAAATTATATAAGTCAGAACTAAAAATGTTTACCCTGGAATATTTGATGTCAAACACAGCTGTCACAGATTCCTGTTTTTTTTTTTTTAAAAAAAACTGTATAGCAGATAATGTAGTGCATTGAATTGTGTACTGGGGGTCCTTCCACACAGCCCTATATCCCAGAATATCAAGGCAGAAAATCCCACAATATCTCAGTGTGCACTCAGATAACCCACTTCAAAGCAGAAATTGTGGGATTTTCTGCCTTGATATTCTGGGATATAGGGCTGTGTGGAAGGGTCGTGGGAGACCAGATTCAAATCCCTGCACAACCATAGAAATTCACTTGGTGACTTTGGGCAAGTCATGTTTTCTCAGCCTCAGATAAAACAATGGTAAACATTCTCTGAACAAACCTTGCCAAGAAAATCACTCAAAATGTTCCTCTTAAGATCACCTTAAATCAGAAATAACTTAAAAGTACACAACAACTAAAGGGGATAGCATAGTCCTATATTACTTTATTAGTTCCATTTTGAACAGGTTGTTAAGTATGCAAAAGGAAAACACAGGAAAAAATATATAAGCATAGTGAAAATTCCCACATGAGCTTTATGACAAAGGAAGTTCTGTAGAGAAATTGGTGAAAAAAAGAATTCAGTCAAAGGCATTTTTCTAGTGAGAAGTCATTTGAGTCTAAATCAACTGCAATTGTATTTCTTATCTTCGTATTCTGTATATATCTAGAATTTGCTAGCTGCTTCTACCATCAGTAGAAGAATTGTTCCCCATCAAGGTCACTCTCCCGAGTTCACTTTGCTGAGAATAGACAGATTAATGATCCGGTTGGGATCAATACTTCTCTTTGATGGTTAGCATTTAGCCAGGGGTGTATCTAACTAAATGTGGCACTGTTTTCCAAAGAAGAAAATTGCCTTCATCTGATAATGACTGACAGTGGTATTGAGTACAGTAGCTAGTTTGCTAGCTGGAACATTAGACAGTAGGACTGTACAGCTGAGGCATTGGTTTTTCTGGGCAGTAAGCCAAATTTGTTAACTATTTGACCAACTGTACTGCATGTTTCCGGATATGTTACAGTAAGCTTCACGCTGATGCTGCAGAGATAATATTTCAGGATCCCTGAATATAGACTTCTGAAGCTACCCTACTGACCTTATAAACTAAAGGCAAGATCTTTTTTCTCCCACTGCCAGGCTGCACTATAATTGTTTTTAAAAGTACAGTGTGGTTTGAATTTTGCATTCACTATTTGTTTGTTTGTTCCTGATGTCTAGGGAATGTTGGGTTCCATATTTTTAATTACATTGCGGATCTGAGTCTTGGTTTACTTTCTTTGTAGGGCTTTAATATTATCTTCAAGTTGTATCATCATTTTTCACTGATATCTTTGGAAATGTTCTGTATGCTTTGCAACAGTGCTGCCAACATCTTAAAAGCAATTTGTGCTAGAATAATATGTTCCAAAGCTGTGTTTGCTTGTACATGTGTCACAGCATTGCCATGCTGTGTTTCTTGGGCAAATAATTTCTTCTTATATTCAGATAATGAGGATTTTTCAAAAGAATGACTGGATGAAGACTTATAAAACACTGAGTACTTTAAAGGTAGAATCATTTCAATATAATGATAAACAGGAGTGCAAATATGTATTGCATTTATTTAGGCAGTGTTGGTGCTAGTGGCAACAGTTCACCATCACAATCTGATTACATAGATATACATTAAAAAGAGAGATGTCATATGCATATGTCTTATTAACTACAAACACTTGGCAATTCCCCATGGTCTAACATATGCAGCCTTCTTAGTATTCTCTTTAGAAAAAATCCATCTTGGGGAAATTTCAAAACACCAGATTGGGGTATATGTTTTGTATTTTGTAAATGCAGCACCATTTAAATCTAAGATAATGTTATGTTTAATATTTACTGGACTTTGCTATTGCTTCTTGTTCTCAGAATGAATGAAGTGAATTATGCTTCCAACAGAAGGTGGAAAGAAAAAACATTGTGGAAACATACATCACCCTTTATTATCCACAACATATGTGCTTTGTTCAGAGGCAACAATTCCTTTATATTCACTAAGAAACCACCTCTGCTTAGCACTGATTGACTAGAACCTGTTGTGTCAATAAGTCACTTGAAAATTAATATATTTAAGAAAAGGGGTGACTGAATATTCTACTGAAAAACATACATATGTCACTTTTTTCCAAAACCCAGTATGCTCGAATTATGAGGCAAGAGAAAGATAGATAATTAGTTCAGGAATTGAACCACTGTAAAGTTCTTCTGTCATTTTTATTGTGAAGCCAGGAGGAAGCTGTATCAGCCTCCTGGGCAGAGAGTCACATTGACTCTTTTTTCATTGTACATTTGTATGCAATCTTAGTTGAACAGCAAGCTAGTAAGAGAAGAAGTGTGCCATAATGAACAGCAGGCATACAGCAACAATACAAATGAACAGAAGAGCCATGTTTTCCATGAGAAATCGGTTTGAAGAAATCATTAGAGTTCTTTGATTCCAGCTTTACATGTGCAAAGAGAGAGTTCAATTTTCTCTGTCCCTCCTACTTGTTCCTTTTTAAAATTCTGCACCAGCTATATATTGAATACCTGTCGTGTTCACCTATGTCACTCTTCCTCTGAAAGATCTCAGAGCAACGCAAATATTGGCACAGTTGTTGGTCACTGCAACAGGGACAGGAATGTTAAGAAAGTAGGAAGAGGGAAATGTGCAATATGAATGAAATAAAGAAATAACTGGGCAGAGAATGGAATTATCAAGGGTATTTCATATCCTATATAAAGTCAATATACTTACGAATAAGTTTTTATATTGAAGACATGTTTGCAGGTAGGCTGATACAAAGCCCTTGTCAATTTAGATCTATTATTAAGCAATACTCTCACTATCTGCTCTCAACTGAAATCTAGCAGAGCACCTGATGAACCAACCTGGACACAGCATGCTATTTGAGAACACAAAAATGCTGGACCACTCTCACAACCACCATGTCAGACTACACAGAGAAGCCATTGAAATCCACAAACATGTGGACAATTTCAACAGAAAGGAAGAAACCATGAAAATGAACAAAATCTGGCTACCAGTATTAAAAAATTCTAAAATTAAAACAGCAGAGAGAAAAACAGGCAGGGACATTTAATCACCTTTCAAGAAGAGTTTGCTCCAGGCACAGTCAGCCCATTGTATGCTAATCAAGGTGGTCAGTTGAAAAGATTCACACCTAGCCCACTTACAAAAGCCTTTTGTCTCACCCTGGTCATTCCACAGATATATAAACCCCCTTTTTTCCCAGCTCCAGCAGACCTCACCTCTGAGGAAGCTTGCCATAGATGCAGGCGAAACGTCAGGAGAAATGCCTCTAGAACATGGCCATATAGCCCGAAAAAACCCACAAGAACTGAGTGATTCCGGCCATGAAAGCCTTCAACAATACATTGAAATCTGGTTGTTGCCAGGATAGGTTACTGCTAAATGTAATCCCTTTCAAATACAGCCAATTACAGGTGTTCCATTTTTTTATATTGAATCTGCAAAATCTTATGTTTAACTTTTAAATTTTAGTATTAATAAAATCAATATGTTGATAAATTTTACAGGAAATGCTGTATGCATGCCAATCATGATAGCAAAATTTGAAGACAAGAGATATATCTGAGTAATTTGACAGCAGTATTGGATATATTTCTTCTTGTCTGCTTGTCTTTATGTCTGTGTCAATAGAAGAATTAATAAGTGGTCTAGCACATGCTTGTAGAATACTAGTTCCTTTTGTGACGATGGGTTTCTTATATTCGAAGTCCATTTTAAAGTATTCAGATGTTTATTTTTATTATTGTGTGTGTGTATTGAGTTTCAACAGCGAGGAGCCCTAAGAATTGCCTTTTTATATCTCTCTATGGCTATTCTTGTACACCTTGCTATTAGAGTTGACATTTCAGATAAATAAATTGCCCTATTTCCTGAATCAGTTTTGTGTCATATCAGTTCAATCTAAAATAAGCAGGACATTCTAGATTGGAATGTGTAAATTTAAGACTTGTTAATACATAAGGATCAGATTTAATTGATAGTTTAAACTGGGTGTGTACAGTGGACTCTTGATATCTGCTGGAGTCTGGTTTTAGACACTCTCTCAATGGATACCAAAACCAGTGGACTGGATGCTCATATTTCATGAAATGCAAGGCTGCAATATGGCATCTTTTATATAAAATAGTGGATAACTAAAACAAGTGTCAGGGAGAGCCTGTGGACTGGTGAACTGGATGCTATTCTGAATATTTTCAACCCATGCTTGAATCTATGCATACAGAACCCGTTGATATGGAGGGCTGGTATCACTTAAAAAGTATGTGTATTGCAACCTCATACTCAAATACCTATGAAGACACCTCATAGCTGAAAATGCTAAGAATTTGTTCTAAATGACTTATAATAATAATGCTTACACATACATCCTTTTTATGTTTAATTGTAGATACTTAGTGGATGAAATCAAGAAGAGAGAAGGCTTCCAGTTGCTGTTGGAGGTAAGTTAAATGGTATGTGTATATTGCACAACAAACATTTTGGTACTGCTGATTCAAGGAATAACCAAGGCTATAAGCTGTAATCAGTTTTTCATATCAGTCTGAATATTGGTTTGGTTTGGGAAATGGGCTAGTCTAGTCTTACTATAGATAAGGATTTATTTATTTTTTTGTCATGTCAGTAGCGACCTGAGAAACTGCACGTCACTTCTGGTGTGAGAGAATTGGCCATCTGCAAGGACGTTGCCCAGGGGACACCCAGATGATTTGATGTTTTATCATCCTTGTGGGAGACTTCTCTCATGTCCCCACATGAGGAGCTGGAGCTGATAGAAGGATGAAAACTACATACTACATGAATGCTTTTCTCTGAATTTTTAAAAAATATATAAAATCAATTCACTTAATATGAATATTTACCAACAATTTTTAGAGTTGTGGGAGCCAGGTCACTCCTCCCCAAGCCTCTTCGATTGCTACTTCACAGTTTGTGTGGTTCGAAGTGTGGCTTCAATGGAGACAGCATGAAATGGCTGAGGCGACAGTGGATAACATTACGATAGCCTGTATGCCATAGAGAACGGGGGAGCACTAACTGGCATTTATTTATAGACATCATTTCTAGTCATTTGTTCATATCCTTTGCATGCAGTTTAAGGCAGACAAAAAATCAGTTAAAGGGGGAGAACATTCTTATTGAGTCTTGAAGCAACCAGCAAAGCTTTAACTTTGGCATGGTGAGGCACAGCCAAAAATAGCAGCCAAAGAGGCATGGGGAAGGGTGTCCAGGCCTTTTATTGGCCTGGCCATCTCTCCCCACCCATCTAGTTACTGTATTGCCCTGTACACAACATCCCGGCATGCTGTACCAGGTAGAATATATCACACTAACTCTCTCCCCTGTGTCCTACATGAGTTCAGGGGTTTCCTTAATAGCCTCTCATGCAATAGCAAGACCAGACACAGAAACCTGGAATAAATAAGGGCCAATTTATTTTATCTAATTACATTCTGAGGGAAAAAGCTATAAGAAACAAGAAGAGGGAGTGATCTAATTCAGGTTTAGCTGGGACCAGGTGTCACCCTTTGGGTACCAAGCTTTCCCTTGGTGAAACCCCTGAATGCTAGGGTCAGACAATCACTCGATTGTTTCCTGGATGGGCATTTGATGGAAGGCAAACTAGGTATTACCAACCAAAATTCAGGACATTACAAGCAAGAGTAAATCCCAGGTCTTCTTCAAAGTGGACTTTTTTCCTCAGGTCCTGTGTGTGATCAGAAGGTTAGTTTTCCAGGCCTATCTAAATCAATAGAGCATGATTTTGCACAGGGACACATGTCCTAGTAATTCCCACTGAAATGACTCCTGTCTTTCTCTCTGGAATAGATGTGTGTGTTATGTGCATGGTTAGAAGAAAGGCAGAAGAGAAGATAGGGAATTATGGCACAATTACTAGATTTATCATAAAATTATCTTTTTGAGGTTGGACGTTTACACAGCACAAGCCTCATCTGGAAGCTGTTTTTCTCCAGGGGCATTTGAAAATGAAATTTGGCATTCAGCATGAGGAGGCCTCCACATACCTAGGCTGGATCAGGCTAGAGAAAAAGCTTAACTTCATCTCATTTCATAGCAGCAGGTGGCACGCTTGCTGATCTCTTCCTGCTGACAACTGTATTCTCCTTGATGATTAAACTGTATTTAATGCACTCTTTGAAGGAAGGCAGAAAGTAATATTATGAATAGAACCAGTGCCCTTTCATGAAAGAATTTAGCACAGCTGGTAATTTCCAGCCACTTGGGAGGAAGATTAGAACTGTAATTGAGGTAGTGTTCACATCTGGGGAAAATGACAGTATGCTCTAGCTACCTCCCACCTTTTCAATTTTTATGCCTTCTTCCATTTTTAACCAGAAGTGTTGAGAAAGAACCATATACGTGAAAGGGAATGTGCTGTAGTTGTTGTTACTTAACAAGAAACACTTTATTTCAACGAGATTCTGCTCCAAATGTCCCACTAATGTTCACATTGTTAATTCATTTTGATTGGAGGCGGGTAAAAAAGTAAAAACATGAACATGACCATATAAAAGGCTAGAAAGGAGGTTACAAAATTAACAAATATATAATATTTACATTGTAATGAGAAGTGTAGGAAAACCTGCAGTAAGTTGTCATGTGAGATAGAAATAGCAAATAAGCATAGTGATGAATGAAATCTACTTAAAAAGACTGATAGCTCAGTGACTTGAGATATTTTTTTGGCACTTAGTTTCTCATAATGGTACCAGATGAGTAGATTGGCTAGCTTGAATCTTTGTCCTAAGAGTTCTATATTTTTCTCCTGTTCTAGCCAGAGTATGCGAACATTTGCTTCTGGTACATTCCACCTAGTCTGAGAAATATGGAAGAAGGACACGAATACTGGGAAAAGCTCCATCATGTGAGTTGCATACTTGGTTTGTAGAATTGCTTGTTTTATGAAAGGAGGATTCCTGTGGTGTTTATAGTTTCATGGCATATGGAAATTCAGTAGGGGTTGCTTTTCCCTGTGTGCAGTTTATTTTGTTTCTACTTGTCACCCAACTACTGCAAGCAAAACAAGTTGGCAACCCTAGTTATGCATGATAATTTTATGGTTTATTTTTCTTACATGTCTCCGTATAAAACAGAAATCTACCTTTGTACACACATAATCGAGCATCAAAGTGTTGTTTGATCCATAGATAGGTATTCATAGAATTTTTAGGTTTACAACCATCATGGTTTAGACAAGGCTAATCAAGTTACTCTCTTAAAATAATAGATGTAGACATTACACAAGTCTTCCGCTTGCTATCAAAGCTGTTAACAGATGGCAGAGCTGAGAGAAGATGAACAACATTGTCTGCATCCATTGTCTAGACAGAACATTCATTACCTGCTTTAGACACTTAACGTTGTCCTTGGGACTTGCTTTGAATTATCAGTGGATATTATAAGTCGGAACATGTTTGAAGAGTGCATTTCCGATGTTAAGCAACCTATAAAAGAAATTAGAAATCAGAATGGGCTAGAATTAATAGCGATTCTTTGTTAACCTTTGCAATTCTAATGTAGAATGCTAAATACTATAGAAGAAGAAAAAATCAAAACCTGGATGCAGAGCTGGGATTGGGAGATGTTAAGCATAAAGTTCTTTAGGGAAAAAGTAGTATATATTAAGTACACTGGAAATATATTCTGCAATAAAGGGGATGAGGTTATGGTTTGCATCAATTCTTGCATCAGTGGTTTCTTTGGGCCACTTTTATCAGCCTTCTCATTTCAGATTTTATATACTGGATCTCTGTGTTCTCTGCTAAGGAAATCAGTTTGTTAACAGCAGAGATTTAAATAATATTCTTTATAATTTATTTCTTAATGGTGAATAAGGGGGTTTATTGAGCATTGGGTATTGCTATTTTCATTTTTGCGAATCCTATTAAGACAGTCATTTATGCTAGTTCTATATAATAAGGTATTATTTTACATAAGTGTCCAAAGGGTAGATTTGTGACCAAGGAAATGCCTGTGTAAATTCTGTGTGTGCATGATTATTCAAGAGGACAGTCAAACATAATTTCATTAAGTTGCTTGAAACAAGTGGTGAATTGTATGAAGCAAATTGTATGAAGGGACCGCCTCACCCCCTACCAACCCCAGAGATCCCTCTGTTCTGAGGACCAAGATCTATTGGAAATTCCCAGTGTCAAGAACTTGCGTCTAACAGCAACCAGACGCAGAGCCTTCACAGCAGTGGCACCATCACTCTGGAATACTCTGCCACCTGAAGTCCGTGCCTTGCGGGATTTATCAGCTTTCCGCAGGGCATGTAAGACATATCTATTTCGATGGGCCTTTGATCCCTGATTGTTTTTAAATTGTTTTAAATTGTGTTCGATTTTAGCCTGTTCTTGTAAGCCGCTCCGAGCCCCAGGGGAGTGGTGGCATATAAGTTCAAATAATAAATAAATAAATACATAAATAAATAAATAAAAGTATAAATCTTTGTAAGACCACAAGAGGATTTCCCCCGAATTGGCCTAAAGACCTGGCACATGGAGCAAGTTTGTTTCTCACAATAGCCAACGAGTTCCCTATAGAGAAGCAGGACATGAAGGCTACACCCCTCTTCTGCTGATAGTTTTCCAGCAATTGATGTTCAGTGACATACTGTCATCCAGATTCTTGAGAAATTAGTTTTCCCAGTTTAATGGTGTCTTGTGTAGAATTGTATTCTTTGCTAATTTTCTTCTTGAAAGAAGCAGCTAATATTTTTTGCAATTTTCTTCCAGTTATGAGTTAGTGACTTCTGTGGAAAACTTATATGTGCTGTTTTTTTTTATTTTAGAAAACCGCATTTCCTGTTCAGAAAACAAAGTTTCCATAAAGAAAATTCTGTAGGCGGGGTATTAACCTGCACAAAATTTGCATGTGGGGTTTTCTTTTGCACCAAAAACAATATTTCTAATATTTTTTCTGTGCATATTTTTTCTTGTCATCTGATCAGAAAATGCTGTTTTCTGTGGTAGTGGGGGAGAGGGGGAGAGATGAAGTCCATAGAATAACACAGAATAAGTTACTTGTCAGTTAAGGATTGCCTTTATCATGGTCTTTTTCACTCTTTCTTTCCTATATGCAGAATGAGAATGCTACAACCCTCTTCTGTTGATTTTCTGATAGTTATACTCTGTCGGAAGAGGCACTTTGTTTAATTGGTCCTACATCTCCCATTGTGACTCTAATTAAAGCAAGGATTTTATGAATTGCCTTTGCTTCCTATGTGTTGCCATGGATCCCCGTGTTAATTTACAATAAACGATTCTATAGTCCATGAGGGCAAGATGAACAGTGACAAGAGAGGAGAAGGAATAGTCCTTCCTATTTTTTATCACTATGTAGGGAACATTTCAAATCTGTATAACTTGATGCCTGCTTAAATTGATTGTGTTTAATTTCAAAGAATTCACTTTGCTTTTAGGTGATGAGCCTTTGATAGAGACTGATTAATATTATCTGGCCTGGTATGTTCAGTTTTTGACATATGAAATAGATACAGAAAATATGATAAAGGTTACATGTATTCTCTCTATAGCCTTGAGACCTTATGCCAGTTGTAATTAGCTGTGAGCTAATGTGATGCCTGTAAATCCCTTTACTAAATGTGGGGTGGTGAATAAGTACAAACTTACAGACCACAGAAGCGGGGATAACAAGATGGTAAACGGAAAGCAGCTATTAAAATCAGCACACAATTTAGAGCTATAATTTTTCTTGCTAAACATATGATGAAAAGTACAGCTGAACTGAAACTGCTGTAGTTTTACAGATGGGAGGATAAATGTTTTGTACATGCCCCCTGGTGGCACTTTTTCTTCTCTCACTTACATGCATTATGCAGATTATTAACAGCAAGGAAAGTGTGTTTGACTGCACACATGTATATTTACAGATTTGGGGGTTGAAATGTATACGTTATTGCTTTCTATTCAAATATGATTATCAGTCTGAAATATGGATCTTCAAATACCCAACAAGAAGAAATCCTTGACAATTTAGAAGAGTTCTGACTATATTCCTTCAGCTGATTTGTACTAACTGATGGTTTCTCTATAAGGAAATGTGGCACACTTTTGTCTTTTGTCTTGACTACCACTGTTCTTATGGAATGGTAACTGATTTCAATGAAAAACTGAATTCTTTAGAGAGACATCTCAGGTCACAAAGAATATAAATTTGTGGGATGAATAGTAATTGAATATGAAATATTATCTCTGCGTGATTATCCCTACTAAAAACTGTCCTCCAACATTACATCATACTCAGGCATAAGCCAGAATGACACTTTGTGGAATGAGGCAAAAAGTATCCTCAAGGAATGAAAGAACGTTTAGTTCTTCAGTCCACTGCCCTCCCAGAGCCAACTTCTTTTAGTGTTGTAGAGAATTCCTTGAGGTAAAGAGAATGTAATAGATTTGGCCTGCATGAAGACCTTGGATAAGTGTTACGATTGTATTTCAGATTTAAGAGAATCATTGCACTTCTATGGAATTATTGTCAGATGGTGATGAGTCAACCTGGGGTTGATGTCTCTTGGTCAGTTTGGGATATTTCCTAAGGTATGAGTTGGACTGCTGGGAAAGCTAAGCAGAAAATTAGAAGGGAAAGGCTGTTGTGTCCACGTATTCTCCATATTGAGTCAGGAATAAGAAAGGGATAGAGGATTTCCTCCTCTTTCCCTATCTTGGCTCCTTTAGGTGTATTGCTACTGTAATCTCCATATTCTGGAGACACAAGAGGCAAGGGGGTTAGTTCATGGTTTTAAAGCAAGATGGTACTGGGAATTGTGGATATATCACACAGTCCTAAACACTTGGGAAGTGTTAGACTTGTGATTTTGTGATATGAAATCCAGCATATATATCTCATTTGCTATGTCATTCTGTGTTTTTGTGTCAGTAAAATAATGATCTTTTTTTAAATATAACATCCTATCTCCCCAAAGGGATTCAGGGCGGTTTCCAAAACACAAACAAAAAAGGCAAATATTCAGTGCCAGAATGCACTGACAAAGAGAAATAAACACACACACCCCAGATCCACCCAAAAAATTCTCAACTATAACAACATTAAAATTAAAAAAATGATATTGAGGCATTTGAATCTCACAAGATTACTGCTTGTCTAGCCACTCCAAGTTGGAAGGGAAGGAATCTATCATAATAGCATTACCATTAGCATGTAAAATTAAGTGTTCTGTAGTAGAAGACTGTATATGGTTACTTAACGATAGAAGAACATCTTCAGTTATGACCTTGGCTCTTGGATATATTCCATTAATACATGTTATGACAGGTAGAATGGCATTCTTAGCTAACCTGATATCCATGAGGGCAGCTGTTTTAATGTGATGCAGCCAAAAAGAAACAATGAATCTTGTGGCACCTTAAGGACTATCAAGTTTTATTTAGCATAAGCTTTCAGGAACTTCAGCCTAGTTCATCGGATGAAGCCAGCTGCAACTGTCCATGTAGGCATATGTCAAATGAAGGTGCCAGAATAGTAAAATGGTTTGGATGTTGAAATAGCACTTTTGGAACTCAAGGTTCAAATCTGTTTAGTCATGAAAGCCTACTGGCCAAGCAGGTCACATTTTCTCAGCCCAGAGGAGGGTAACTCATCACTGAACATATACACAACATTTACAATTCCCACCACCATCATGAGGATTATTTTATTTTACATATTTATCCTTTTTGAGACAATCCTTCTAGATGTACATACTGTGTAACATTTGCATCCATTTCTTATGACCTGATCTCTAAACTTATTCATTTTTAATTCTTGACCTGGTTCCATCTTTCTTCAACTTCTCACATTCTATTTTCATTGCCTTTTTGAATCATTTAATTTTGCATCCAT